ATATATATATATATATATATATATATATTTGTCTTAAACAAACGAAGTAATTCATTTGAAAGACTACTTAGCACTAAAACTAAATATCTATTTAAGTTCGTCTTTCAATGTGATGTGAAAATCATTTCCTTAACAAAAATGTTTAAATTTGTTAATATTAAAACTTATATTATGAGAAATTCAAGATCGTCTATTGATCTAATAACAGTTTACAAAATTTAAACAAACAAACCTATAATTCATATTTGATTCCAGTCTTATGTTCTTTTACAATTGAGTTTTTTGGATTTTCCAATTCCGTGTTTTACATATTTCATCTTAAAGATAAATAATATCCAAATGAGCCAAAATGTCTTTGTATTTTTTTTTCTTGCCATTATACTTTGCAGAAGAAACTTCTTAAACATATAGTTATATGCATTTGACAAATATATCAATTGTTGTAGGTAGTAAATTGAATAGAAGTCTAAATTATTAAATCCACAAGGATTTGAGTTTATAATTGTATACTATAATTTCAATATATTAAACAAATAATTTTATGAGAATTTAAAATTGTTCAACAAAAAATATTTAAATTTAATAAAAATAAAATAACACAATAAATTATGATGAATTTGAATTTATAAAAAAAAAGTAGTCAAAGATTGATTTACTAACTTTTTCTATGTAAAATCTCTTAATTTTTCATTCATTGTTGTAATTATACAATTAATTCGACAATCTACAATTATGTTTAAATCCTAATTCTTTAAGTGAGAAAGTTTTGGTTGTTTAAGAAAATTCCTATTCCTTGACAATTTTTGTTAAACAATCTTGCATTAAGGTCAAGGACAAAAAATCGACTGATAAAGTTTATCTCAATTCTTTGATAATAAATGTTATCGATGTTTTATTTAGGTTGTAATTTGAAAAGGATTTTCTAACCTTAATTAAAAATTATAAAATGATGATGAAGTTGATCATGTCACATTAAGTTCAAGAGTGAAACGATTAATTGAATAAATACTTTATTGATGAAAAAATATAAAGTAATTACATAGTTCAAATAACTACCTCAATCTTAAACAAAAGAGAACTTAGTCACTCATGACTAAGGATTGCATAAAGGAAGAGGGATCTTCGATCGACTCATGATTACAAGAATATTCTCATGAGAAAGTATTGATTATTAAGAATGAGATACAGTGACCTCCTAAAAACCCTATTTTATAACAATTTTGATGGATTTTTTAGGTCTGATACGCCCACTCAGAGCGTCGATGTAACTCATTTTGAGCAAGCATGTGTGTGTCTTCAAGGTTACTCTCTGAGTTGACTTGCTCAAAGCACTCTTATAGTAGTTCCCTTTGCGAATTTTGCTCACTCAAAGCTTCCAAGTAACTCGCTCTAAGAGAGCATGTGTATTCTTTCAAGGGTTCTCTTTGACTTCACTTGCTTAGAACACTCTTGTGGCAGCTTTGAGCGAATTTTGTTCGCTTAGAGCATCAAAGTAGCTCGTTTTGAGTAAGATGGTGTAATCTTTCAAGATTGCTCTCAAACTTCACTAGTTCAAAGTGAGTTATTAATTTCTCTTATTGAATTTCTGTGACTTAGAGCAAGTCTTTTATATGGCTTGGAACGATAGTTCTTCTTGTAACTTTCAAATTATTTTCTTCTTGTATTATATCTTAACAAAAAAAACATTTAAAATACCTAATATTTTAACAATTAAATCTTAAAATGAAATTAACTCTTACCTAAGTATTTTATGATAAAAACAAAATTTAGAAACATAATATATATTAATAATTACCTAAATTAAATTATAAAAAAAAAGTGTAGGTATCATCAAGTCTAAACAAGTAGTGATGAGATGTTCTTTATTATGAGGGAACCAGAGCTTGATAAATATCATAGATATTTTGGATATGGGTGATGTTAGGTTGTTGTGCTTTGAATCCAAAATATGTTATGAAATCATGTATTATTGTTTGACTTGTGTACTATCCGTACCACGAAGCTGAGCTTGAACTCGGCATCATAGCGTAGATTGACATCGGACACGCACCACGTTACATCAGCCAAGACAAAGGTCCATCATGTACTGATCTCGGGCCCAAGGCCCCGATAAACCCTAATTCACACTAAGATACGTGCATTACTTATACGAGACTCATACACCCGCAGACACTAACTTTAGCATCGGAGTCTCTTTTACAGGTACTACCCCCACTTTGAAACAGCAAACGTACTCAGCAAAAGAGACTTACTAATCTTGCCCAACAGATCGTCCCTACGACCAATCTCCGGTAAGAACAACTTGTAATTTTATTTGTACTTGTAACGGATTGATACATTGAAAACGGCCCAATTAGAACATAATATAAACGAGCCAAATTTATATAGCCCGCTGTTTATTGCAGTGTTGAACTCTCTTTTTTTCTGAACTCGGCCATTTCTTGAGACCCACGTACTCGAAGAAACACGTGATTCAGCCAACCCTTTGGAAAAATTGTAGAAACAAACAGATGAAAACATTATTTATATTATCTTTGATGGAATTCTTGACTCCCACGTATAACATCTTCAGAAACCAACTGATTCCAGCAACACATAAATAACCTCCCACTGAACAACATATAACAAGTACTACTAAAATTCACTACCTTAATTCTACTTTTGTTTCTCACTACAACACTACTACACCAACAAGCAGACATGAGTAGTTTTCCTCATTTCCTTGTCATGCCTTATCCAATTCTCGGACACATGAATCCACTTCTTCAATTCTCTCAGGTTTTGGCCACGCGTGGCTGCAAAATAACCTTTTTGATAACCGAGTTCAACCAAAAGAGAATGAAGGGTGAAATTGAGCACTTGGGAGAACACATGAAGTTTGTGACACTCCCAGATGGTTTGGATCCAGAAGATGACAGGAGTGACCAATCAAAGGTGATTTTGTTGGATAATCTTAAATTTCTAGAGATATCCGAGATATCCGAGATATCCGAGATATTCGAGATATCCAAGATATCCGGGATATCCGATTTAGTTATCTGGAATTATTTGATTTTGAGTTATTTTGTTTCAGATTAGATAAGATAGTTTTTTGGTAAGTTTTGATTTGATAAGATATTTTATTATCTTCTTGTTAATTCAGTACGTTGTACAATGGCTATTTAAAGGTCATCTCTTATTCAATAAAAATCACAGTGAGTTGCTACGATCACCCACAATTTTAGTGTTACTCGTCTCTCTTAGTTTTTCTACAAATTGGTATCAGAGCTATATGCTCTGAGTGCCGAGTGTGAGGGGAAAACAGTGTGCGCCTGTGAAGGGGGAAGAAAGAAGAAAGAGAGAGTAATGGCAAAGGTTGTGAATGGAATGACCGTACCACAACTGTCAAAGAAAACCAATTATGATAATTGGTGTTTACAAATGAAGACCCTGTTGGGTTCCCAAAGTCTATGGGACATAGTGGAGAAGGGGTTCCAAGAACCCGAGGAGGACGAAGACCAATCTGTGGCTCAGATTGCCACATTGGAAAAGACACGAGTGAAGGACAAATCGGCTTTGTATTTTTTGTACAATGCCGTGGATGAGTCAGGTTTCGAGAAGATTGCAAACGCTGCATCTTCAAAGGAAGCATGGAAGATCTTAGAGGTTGCGCACAGAGGTAACCACCGTGTCAGACAGATCCGACTTCAAACTCTCCGAGGAGAGTTTGAGAGTTTGAAGATGGAGGATAAGGAACAAGTATCCGAGTACATAACTCGGGTGGAGAAGGTGGCTAACCAACTAGGAAGGAATGGGGAGCCAATGCCAGCAAGTAGAATTGTGGAGAAAATCTTGAGATCATTAACAGATGATTTCGAGAGTATTGCATGCGTAATTGAGGAGTCAAAGGACTTGTCAGTTCTCTCAGTGGAAGAGCTCGCTGGGTCACTCGAAGCCCACGAACAAAGGAGGAGGAAGATGAAGAATACTCTTGATCAAGCATTACAGGCGCAACTTGATTTGAATGAAACTCGGAACACTCAGGGCCGAAGATCAGGAGGACAAGGACGAGGTGATCATGGAGGACGAGGCAAAGGACGAGGTGATCATGGAGGTGATCAAGGACGAGGTCGAGGACGAGGTGACCATGGAGGTGGACAAGGACGAGGTGATCGTAGCCAAGGAAGTCAGCCGAGGTCCGAGGTGGAATGTTATAAGTGTGGCAAACTCGGCCACTACGCAAAGGAATGCAGATCGGCAAATTGCTACAACTGTGGCAAATACGGTCACATAGCAAAGTATTGCCGAGCTAAAAGCCGAAGTGAAGAAAAAGGGAAGAATCTTCTCACAGAAGAAGAGGACGAGGAAGCAGGAATTTTGATGATGACGCAGAGCTCGGAGACCAAGCTACGTCCGAGTTCTGCCTCCGAGGTCCAGCTAAACTTGAGTTGCGTCGAGAGATCAACAATTGAGCCTCCAAGCTCAAATGAGAAGTCAGAAGCCGAGCTTGATTCGAGTTGCCTAAACAACTCGATCTGGTATTTGGACACTGGAGCGAGCAATCATATGTGTGGAGAAGAAAGTTTCTTCAATGAACTCATCAAGGTAAAGGCTGGATTCGTGTCATTTGGGGATGATTCCAAGGTGGCGGTAAAAGGGCGTGGAACCATCAAGTTTATACAGAAGGATGGACGAGTTGGAGAAATAAGGAATG